GAGGGGCTGAGCATGCTCTTCTTGTACCTCAAATCCTCCCTTAGTCCTGGATTTTTGGGCTGCTATCCATGTGCCTGTAGCACACGGTGAGGCTGAAGGAGACTCTTGAATTATTCACTGTATTACGTAGGGTGTCTATTAGGTGATCTCTGTGTCTTGTGTCTCCTTCCCTTCCCCAATGCAGACTAGCCTTTGGTCTCTCTCTCTGTGTATATGAGGAAATCTCCAGTTCAGATTTCCAACCAGTTTTATCCTCATCTCCTGATACATTGAAGATGCAAAGCCTGCAATGTAGGTTACCTTTAACCATGAGACCTGCATTTCTCAGGATACAGCCTGACCTCTTTAGGCTTGGCGGTGTGGGGAGCTCAGCGCTGCTGCCTGCCTATTTTTATCTTTGGACTACTAACCTCTAATTAGAAGGGAAGATGTTAAAAGCTTTAGCATTGTAACAAGTAGCAGCTTCCTTACAGAAAGCACACCTTCCAAATGTGGTGCCTGCTAAAACTGGGAGAGAACAAAAGCTGGTTTAAGAGCTGGTTTCCACAAATGGGCATCTGCCTTGTCTCTGAGGACCACCTCATCTATGGATAACCTTGAGTCTGCTTTGATGAAACTGAGGCATAGTCTGTGTTTTCCTAGAGAGAGACATGGATTGGGTTGCAGATGCCCTGGGCTAACTGTCCTATTGCAGTTCTGGGGTGTGCTAGTGCAGAGGTGTGACAGATACCCCTAGGAACTCCCTTGAATGCCAACAAACTGCAAATTTGTGGGATGCACAGAGACAGGGACAGTGATAACCCAAATTTATCCCCCTGGGGAAACCAGGGGTGTGTGATAAACCCATCCAAGGGTGGGATGGCTGGGAAGTCCATGTTCCTTCACCCCTGTTCTATGGACATGTGTGTGTCCCCAGTGAGCACGTGGAGGGGTGTAGCCAATTGTATTCCCCCTGAGAGCTAATCCCTTGGGGAAAAGCGATGAGATGAGCTACTTCAGCAGGGAAATAAAAGCAGGGATGGGAGAAGCAGGATCAGCTCAGGGATTTTCTGTGGGGGATGGAGGGAAAACTCTGCATCCCATCCAGCCATGCCAGCAGATCTTCCTGGCCTCCAGCTATGAGTGGAATCTGGTCAGGTGCCAAGAGCCCCAAGGAGGGCATATGGGGCAAGGGGTTTTGTCACCAGGAAACCTGGACCCCATCCAGGGCTTCTGCTGGGCCTTCTCCCCACTTCGCCCTCCACGCACTGGCTCCCAGGAAGAGCCTAGGGAAGCAGGACCTGTCCTGTCCCAACTAAAAGCTGTCATTGTTGTTGGGGTGGTGGTGGCTGTCGGGCTGCAGGGTCAGCAGCAGTAAAGCCGAGACGCTCCTCCCGACAGGGAAGACAGCCTATGACACCTACCCCACCTGGCTCAAATTCCACGTTGGCATCAACCGCTATGAGCTGTACCCCCGCCAGGACCCCCTGTTGCCCACACTTCTGTGGGACTTGGCCACACAGAGGATCATCAGCTCAGGTACCACCTCCCCGCCTGCACCTCTGCCCACACCCCTGTCCACACCCCTGCCCCTCTGCCTGCTGCCTGCCTCCCTCATGCCCATGTGCCCCCTTTCAGTCCAGAAGTCTGGCGGGACCCAGCTCAAGCTCATCATGACGTTCCCGAATTATGGGCAAGCCCTCTTCAAGCCCATGAAGTGAGTAGAGCTGGGGAGAACCCCACCCACACGGTCCTGTTGGGTAGTGAGGAGCAGACAGAGGGACCCCAGAGGGAGAAATGGAGAAATGCTTCGTGTGCTGCCTTGGTTCAGCACCCACACCCCAAAGCAGAGGGGAGCAGAATAGTCCTCTTCTCCTTTCCTTCCCTGGCGGTGCTCGTGGCTGGCCAGGAGCAGCTTGTGATAGGGTAGTGACCTCCAGTGGTGGAAAGAAGAAGGTGGTCCCTGACGACCATCCAGGAGCCTCCAGTCCGTGAGAGTTTCCCAGCCCTTGCTCTGGGGGCAGGGGGTGCATGGGAGCCTGGATGGGGGGTTTGGAGCCACACCACCCAGCAGGGAGTGACTGGAGAAGACTTGGGTTTGGCTGTGTCTCCAGTGGCACCAGGGGACATAAAGTGAGGGGTGGTTTGGAGCCAAGCCCATGCTCGGGGTGACCCTGTTCATGAGTATTTCCCCGACCCTCACCTCTCCTCCCAGGCAGACCCGGGACCAGGAGACCCCCAGTGATTTCTTCTACTTCTCGGACTTTGAGCGGCACAATGCAGAGATCGCAGCCTTCCACCTGGACAGGTGAGTGTAAGCTTTGCATCCAACCCTGCCCTCCCACGGTGGCAAAGCAGCAGAGAAACTGCTTCTTCATCCCACCTCTCCCTCCCTGTTGCAAAGGAAGCCTGTGTCTCCTGAAGGTTTTAATAATTCTCTGTGAAAACCAGCTGGGGTCAGTCAGAAATCATTCCATGGTCTGTATTTCAGGATCCTGGATTTCCGGCGAATCCCTCCAGTTTCTGGACGTTTGGTCAATATAACGAAGGAGATTCGTGACATCACCACAGACAAGAAATTGGTCAAGACTTTCTTTATCTCCCCAGGTGAGCTTTCAGGCCATCCATCCTCTCCTGTGACCACCTGCATGTAGTTCACCTGGAGCTGGCTGCTCCTGCCCTGGCTCCCTCTGCAGCAGGGACTCCTCCAGCTCCTGTAGGTCCCCTGTCATGAGGCTTTTTGCTCCTCACACCCTTCCTTGCCATTGCTTTGCTGGTGGCACATGGCCATGGTGTATGGAGCATCCTCCCCTGGCTGCCTGACAGACCAACTTTCGTGGGGGTCACAGGCTCATTGCCTTTGGTTTGTCCACACGGCCAGCGGGTAATGTCTGCTTCTACGGAGAGTGCTCCTACTACTGCTCCACCGAGCACGCCCTCTGCGGCAAGCCGGACCAGCTGGAGGGCTCCATGGCTGCCCTGCTCCCTGACAAGACCTTGGCCAAGCGCCGCTCCTGGCGCAGCCCCTGGCGCCGCTCCTACCACAAGAGCAAGAAGGCTGAGTGAGCTGGGTCATGGGGGGTGGGGGGCATGGAGCAGAAGAGCCATGGGATGGGAGGAGGCTGCTCCATGGCTGCTCTCATGGCCCAGTTCCCCTCCCCGGCTTCTGCCAGCAGGTGGGAGCTGAACCCCAACTACTGCGCTCAGGTGCGAGAGACGCCACCCTACGACAGGGGCCATCGCCTCCTCGACCTCATCGACATGACCATCCTTGATTTCCTCATGGGTGAGCCCCTCCATGCTGGCACTGAGGGCTGTGGAGGCCCCTTGGGACTGAGAGACCCAAATGGCTCTGCGTCCTGTGGTACTGTACCCTGCGAGGTTTGTTGGCTCAGGTTGTAGCAAGCTGTGCTCTTACCTTAAACAAGAACACAGGGCTGTGCTGTTAGGGCATTTTCCAGGCAGAAGCCAAAGGTCAAGAGATGCCAGGGAACACCCCAGACACATGAAACAGCTTCCAGCAAGGCAGCCCCTGGAGAGCCAGAGGCTGTGGTGATGCTGCCTGGGGCTCTTGCTGTCTCTCCTATTCCTTGGGCTGCTCCTTCCTCCCTGCACTGTCCCCTCACCATCATCTGACTTGGAGAGTTTCCCATCTCATCGTTCCTGGCCACCCAGCCATGCCTTTACCATTACTTCTGCTCCATTTGCCATTGTTGTGCCTCCATGGAGCTGCTGGGATAAGAAGGGACCTGGGGGCCATGTGGTCTCCACTCAGTTCTCCACCACGGCCATGGTGACCAAACAGGCGCCTTAGAGGCACTTCCAGCCCTTTTCCCCAGGCTCTGGGTTTCAATCTCATACCAGGCAGGTGCTCCATGTCCCTGCTCCCATCTCCCTGATGGCAAATTTGTTGCCCTGCCACAGGCAACATGGACCGGCACCACTACGAGACCTTCGAGAAATTTGGGAACGACACTTTCCTGCTCCACCTGGACAACGGCCGTGGGTAAAGCTGGGGAGGAGGGAGAGCAATCATGGCAAAGGGGTGAGGGGAGACCTCCAGTGTCGCTGAAATGCTGCCCTGACACCCACTGGTGGGCTTCTTCCCACCCTCAGCTTTGGCACACACTCACGCGATGAACCGTCCATCCTGGCCCCGCTCCAGCAATGCTGCAGGTAAAGGCCTCGCACTGCCCACCCCGGATCTGCTGGCAGGGAGAGGCTCCCTGTGTTGAGACCTCTCCCTCCTCACCTTTGGCA